AAGGAACAGTTGACCTTCATAATTCCCGACTCCTGTGTACAGAATAACTCAGAATGGACAAGTAGTAGAGAGAAGCTTTGAAGCATTACCATCTTGTATGAATAAAGCTTAGCATCAGCATAAGTATTAATAGGAAATATCCATGTTTATCAACGTGGATTTAATGTGCTAAGTGGTAACCACTGTGATTTACTAGGAAGGATGCACCTGCAGATGAGGGACAGTAATTCTGTACTGACTTGTCTGTTCTTCCTCTGCGCTTCACCCATGGGCACTACTACAGCTGTTGCTGTTGCCTAATGCTCCCTCTGCCATTTGTCCTCTGCCTGCTGAATTCAGGGGGATTTGGGCCTTTAACATAATTATTATTAAGTTTCTATTTTATATCCCCGTTCAAGAGGCCCCTCCGTAGCTGATTATACCAATCAGAGGTGACTTAACCCATATTTAAATGCAGCAGCCTGAATTTGTCTTCAGCACAGCCTCCAGAAGATATGAACCCAGCATCAAAGAAAATTAATTCTTAGGTACGTTATCCTAGGGGATCAAGTTAAAATGTGGTCAAAGAGCTTTAGCTTTAGCTTGTATGCTCTCATGAAAGGATGTGGGCAGAAGGCGGCAGACATGCTCTTGTTTGTGCAAGTTTTCCCCCCTCCCTTGTTTGAGTTAGGTAGAATAACAGATCACAGGCATACTTATCAGAAAATATTGTACTGTAGTTAAGAGAGAACGCTTTTTCTATTACAAAAATAATAATTATCATTGGGAGTATGATCAGCCACATTAAAAGTATTCTTTAATCTTTTTCCAGGCAAAAAAACTGACTTGGGCACCTCTCAGGTTTTCAAATAAATACATTCGTTTATCTGGCCATGGTATTACTCCCGCACAAGGAAATACAGGGCCTTAAACACACCCAAAGTTTGGATACCACTCTTGCTTCTCTAAGAACCATTTAAACCATTTATTTTCTACAAAATAAGGTGCTGGTTGATGGAAATGCAAATATTCTAGCTGGTTCTCAAAGGCTTAGGTGGAATTTTGTCCTAAATGGTGATTAACTCATATATGTTCCTAATCCTTTAAAGCAGTTGCATAAAGATTCCAAGTGGCCCTCGAAGATGCTGGGTGGGAGAGTAAGTAGCTCCTTCTAGCCCACTGGAATGCAAGATTTTGTGCTAAGGGGGAAATCCTGTTCACAGTGGAGTAAATGTGGTTTTTGCTCTGCTTTTAATGGAGTTTCCGTTCCTTTTTCTGAACTTAAATGAGAATGGGATTTTACCCATCTCCTCACATGACTGTGGCGCGAACCTGAATTCTATTTTTGAGTCTTTTTAAATGGGGAAAATTAAGGTGAAACTAAATAAGCCCCAATACATCTCCAGACGGAAAAGGGCTCCTAATTGTTGGGTGTTGCCTGAAGCAGAGACGTGAGCTCTAAGCAAACAGTCCCAGCAGCACAGCAGCAGTGCCAGCAGTGCTCTGGCTGCCGGGGAAGCTGCTGCGTCACCTGGCTGTGCTGTGCTTACAGGTGGCAGCGTTGTGCCTGACCCAAGTGCCCTTCCTTCTCCCCACCACAAGTGCAATTGATGTTTGGGATGAGGAAAAGGTCACCATACCACAGAAAGGAAAATGCACTGCTATTTCCAGGAGTTTTCAGTGAAAGTTCAGACCTCACAAAGATAAGGTTAGATAAGGAATTGCAGGGACAGAGTTCACACGGGCAAACTCTTGGGCAGTATATTTTTATGTTGCAAGTAAATGAGACTAAAATATTCCACAAACTTTCACTATATTCTTTATATTAAATCCAGTAGTTAGTTATTCATGCCCCAGCTTTGATTTTGTTAAATAACCAATACCATAATTCAGAGGCAAGAATTTAATCCACAAAAAGTTCTGTCCTTGGAGAAGATCAAAGTGAGTCCTGTGGTGTTAAGCACACACCTACAGTACTTGATCCTGAAAAAAATTAAATGCATGTTTCAATCAGCCAATCCCTTCTTACTGGTTCCCATGCATTAATCTAAGCCTCTGCCTGAACATTTTCAGTGCTAGGAGCAAGGACCTGTGGAGATGTCCACAATGCGAGAGCAGGGGTCTGAAAAAGTAGCAAGCAAATAGGTGAGAACCCCAGCAGGCTATGATGGCAATGGCACTTCATTCCTCTGCATCTACCAGCACTACAGGAAGAGATTGAAAGTCTCTTGGGTGACACAAATACGCACGATAAGTACGTACAGAGAACACAAAGGTGAAATGGCCCTGCTTATCAGGCACAATTAAAATGAATAGAGGATGACTAATAAAGAGGCAGTTTAAAATCTTTACATGACACAGTGTCAAGGCAACAGTGTTGTGCAATAGCACTGACACAATTAACGCTGTGTCCCTGCCTTGGGTAGAGCTGGGTTCCCTCTGGCCTCGCCCGTGCGCTCCCATGGCAAGCGCTGGGTGGGCTCCGCCGCTCCAGCTCTCCGCTCACTGCCGCATCCGGAGCCACAGCGAGGCCCGCGCACAACCAGCCACCTCGGAGCAAGGCAAGGGTGTTTTTTTCCACTTTGTCGTCTCTATTATTCTCTTTCCTTTTAGTTTGTATTACCCCAGCCTCACTACTCTGTGAAAAGGGAGTTGAATTCATGTTGAATTTCTGGGCGCGCTTTGGAGTGAAATGAGGCTGAGCTGCCCCATCCTGAATTAGGAGATGGTTCTCGACTTAGCGCTGGGCAATGCAAGCATTTCCTGGGTAGGAATTTTTGCAGTTTGTAATTCAAAAGCTCCAGATGAGATTGTGAATGGGAGTGTGATCTTCCAAAATACAGCCGAAGTTATCCCTCTAGTTCATCATTTAATTGTATTAGTGCTTAATGGTGTCTGCCAGGCTGCAGGATTCGCCTACGCAGCAGGGACAGGCTGGGTTTTATATATATATATGTTCATATATGTATATATATGTATATATACGTATATACACACACAAGAACATATATAACAAAATATATAAGAATATATATAAGAACAACAAAGAATATAAATATATATATGTATATTCTTTGTTGTTCTAATTTTCCAGCCAAAACCAGCTCTCTCTTGGTTTTATTGCCCCTGGCATGTCTTTGCAATGCAGCATTGTTAAAAACTAACAATATAAACAAATTTGAGGCTATGCCAACAATCACTGAGCAGAGCCAAAGCTGCCCAGCGCTGCAACTTGCTGAGCAGTGTGTGAATTTTGCTGTGGCAGAAATGTCTGTTTCCCCATTCTGTTTTAGCTTTTGGAAAGATCTTGGCGGAAAGAGTGTTATTCTAGATGAGATAATTAAAGTAATTTACATGAAAACTCCTTCACCATTGCTGTGGGAGGAGGGGGCCCTGTGTCTGCCCAGCCTGATGGCTCTAGATGCCAGGGCCTGCAGGGGAGTTGGTTGAAACACTTCCAAGAAAACACGATTTCTGGTCAGAAGATAATATTTTTGCAATTATCAGATGAAGTGGTATTTCCCAGTGGTTTGCTTTATTAGAAGAGAGTGTAGATGCTGTCTGCTGTGCTGGCCAGGCTTGAAGGATGGGGGTGGCCACGGAAGTGTCCCAGCAGTGCAAGCACACCTGGCCAGCTGCCGGCACAACTCAGGGCAATGGCTATGGCAGTTGTACCTTGAGGGGAAACCTGGAGCAGCCCCTTTGGGGCCATATCCTGCTTCCCTGCGCTGCCCACAGCATCGATGTGTGGGTGCTTAAGTTGTAAGTGCCTCAGTTGCAGAGTGCATTGTTTTCATTATTCTCAGTCTACTCCCCCAAATGTGTATCTCCATGCCCATGTAGGGGGACAATGGCATCCCCTCAGTGATGGTCACTGGAGTGACAGGGCTGCATTGCACGCTGCAGAGACACAGCTTAAGTCAAGTAAAAGTAGAGAGAAACTCTGCACTTGATACCTGTTTATATCTTGCCTGAAAGGGAGCAAGAAGGATTTTTCCCCACATGAACGAGGAAAGGGTTGCTGTGTTTGGTGTGACGAGGCCGCATGACTCAAAAAAAGCACTCTAAGTGGGAAAAAGAGATTGGCCACTTGTGGCAGGCAGCACAGCCAAGCTATTTGCTTTGCTTCCAATAAGAAAGTAAGTAATAAATATTAACTGCATGCAAAGGTGCCCTTTCTCTTGTCCTCATCAATAGCAGCTGATACTCCTCAGGCTTATTACTGTAACAACGTCACTTCCCTTTCCTCACTGGCATCAGGTTTATATTAAAAAACTCACAGCAAAGTGTTTTGTCCACTGTCCCCTTTTTGGTTCTGCTTTTGTCTTCTGTGCTGTGCTTTGGGGCACATGTGGGGAAGGGGACATGCAGGCTCCGTGCCTGCCTATCTGCCTGCCTGCCCCCTTCCTCCAGCAGAACTGAGGGCTGGGAGAGGAACAGGAAATTTGGCTGAGCAAAGAAAGCCAGGGGCGAGGATGCCAGCTGTGGGAAAGGGCTAGTGGGCAATAACGTGCTCCCAGAGGGAGCAATCTCCCAGCATTGCATAGGATGAGGAGCAGCTTTCCGAAAAGAGCTGAAGGGAAGGAAAAAAAAAAACCACACACACACAAAAATCTAATTTGTTGGTAAGAGAGTGCACTCAGTTTTGGAAGGGGATTACATGATGCAGCTGCTTGCTTGCCCGAGGCCGGGGTCAGGGACCCAGCGATGTTCGCCCAGGTCGCTCTGTGGCATGACTCAGGCTCTTCCCACCGCAGCGCCGGTGCCCTCCCGGCAATGCCTTGAGAAGAGAGAGGAAGGGCCTGCAGACCAGGCTTGATGCCCCAGCTTTAGTGCCTACTCCTTCCAGATACAAAAAGGAGCATGGACCAAACCCGGGAGATAGGCAGGAGCCCATGTCACGAGTGAGAAGCAGTCCCAGCCCGAGTCTCCGGCGGCCCGCGCAGCGCCACGGGACCCGCTGCATCACCGCGCTCGGCTCCGCGCCCGCAGCTGGGCACGGCTGTAGGCGCGGAAAGGGAGAAGGAGAAGCCCGATGTCCTTGGAGAGGAGGGAAAATAGTTACAATGGAGAAAGGGAATTAAAAAAAAAAATCTTTGAGGAAGGAAGCAGCAAATGTTAAATGGGTGAGTCACGGTACGGGATGACTAATCCCGTCAGGGCACAGCTCGTGCCGCGCAGGGAATCGGTGCCGCGCGGGGAGCGCAGAACGGCTGCGGGACCCGGC